TATATATATATAGCGCTCTTTAAAAGAGCGCTATATATAGAATGGTCACTCTCTTTTTATACGCATTTATGTACACTTGTCCAAAAGAACCACAAATGGGTTCTGGACTCTAAGAAATTAAACCCATTTGAATTTTATTGCCTTTTCGTTTATTTTACTATTTTTGCATGGAACATGTATTTATGACATTAACCTTTTCTGAATGTACAAGAAATTAAACCCACTTTAATTCTATTTCTACTTATTTTCACATGAAACTTCATTGTTTAACAGTGTACTAAAATATTAAAATACTCAATTTTAAGATAAAGTTAATTCTTATGATGGAACTATATCTCCAACCGAAATTTGTTAGGAATAAAAAACTACTTATTCTGCGCTCTTTCTTGTAGTCTTTTGATGTATTTTTGGATTCATAAATAACTTCTATTTCAAATTATGAACAAAATCTTCCGCTTGATTTGATAAGTTCACATCAGTCATTAGATCAATCGCGTTAATTCAACTATTAGAATAAAAGATTAATTAGCCAAAACATGTCATTTGAACACTTTAATAGGCTTGGATGAAATGTTCTATTCGGTTTGACACATTATGTCACTTGGCAGATAACATGATCTAATTGGTCTTAATTTGACCTAAAGGTCTTATTCTAATTTTCAGATCTCAGTTATTAAATCTATTTATTTTTAGGTTTAAATTTTAATTATTCAGATCTTAATTATTCTCCAACCTTCCCCACTCCTAGAAGACAAGTGACTACAATTTATGTGTCAAATTTCCTAGAGCTGATCCAACGAAGTGTTTTTGTCTGATAAAAAAGGTTTAGTACACGAATTAAGATATAATTGTCTCAAAGCCAAAGACAAATAGACATATTGTNCCTTTACAAAAATAATTATAGACGTGAAGTAAGGTTTGTGATGTTTTAACTTCAATACCACACAAGAGAGGGTGATTTGTATGGTGTCTAATTTTTCGCTTAAACTGATTGTGGAAGGATCTGGTTCTTGTAAGTGTTCCTTAACCTACTATTGCAGAAATAGTAAATGCGGAAAGTAAAAAACGCAAGTATTTTACATGGAAAATACCTGGCTCAAAAGGTGAAAAAATCACGACCTACTTCCTAGTAGGATTTTTCCAAACTCTCCACTAAATCACTGAGCCAAAAACTGCATTCACAAAATACTTTTGTAAACCTAGGATTAACTCTAATCCCGTTGTGGCAAACAACCTCTAACTGTTGCGACAACTTCAAGTTAACTCTAACTTGAATACTCTGAGTACCTATTACAATTGCCTTTAGATAAAGCTGTAAGGTACAACATGAAAACACCTACTACAATGTTGCACACTTGAATCACACACGAACTGCTTGCAAAATGCTTTGCTATTTTGCTCTCAATTCCTGTTTAACTTCTGTGTTTGTGCATCACCTATAAATGAGAACATCCTGCAATATATAGAGTTAGTAGATGAAGAAATAACTAGAGTTCTAATGCTACTCTTACTTGGTGGAAGAGTTCTGGTTGATCTCACTTCTAACTCCTTCCCTATCTTGGACAATGTTCTCTTTAAGTAAGGAGTCCTTCTCCTTATCAATTATGCAACCTTTTCGATCAGGAGATATTAAATATACCAAGTTAAGCTTATCTCCTTCACGTGCATCCCACAAGCTCGAATTTGCCCGTTTCTATGCACCATATGGGATGGACCTAGTTTATGCCTGAGCTTCCTTTGTTAATCTTCAAAACTAACCTTCACTTGGGCCAACAAATTCCCCCTTTTTGATGATGACAAACTCTGTGCTTTTCATAAGCTTGGGCCCTGTTTCAACTTAGCTCAACATCAAGACAATGTTAGAAACATTTTTCCTTTTTATCACTTATCATCAAGGACCGGGTTCATTAGGTTATAAACATCATTGTTCAAAGCTAAACATCACTTGTTTAAAGAACAACCCTTTTCCCCCTTTCTGGCATCATCGAAAAGTTGCATAAAAAAATGTGCAATACCCATATTTTAGAATTTACTCATGGCCACAGGGGCTACCCCAAATGCAGACATGGATTAATCATCATCGATCAAGCTAAGAATCCCAACCATCTAAGAAATATAAACAAACAGTTAGAGCAAAAACTAGCAGATTTCATTGATTTCATTGATAGTTGATATGATTCTTCTACAAAGCATAAAAGGAAATAAAAATAATGAAAACATGAGCAAAGAGAAAAAAATCCCAAACTGGGTCACTGAAGGAACTACACTAGGATAGGAATTTAAGGCTTGGAAGAACTAGGTGCTGGGTTATTGGCTTGGAGAAGTTTCAGCATGTCTTGAAGAATTCCATCATTCTTCTCATTTTCCCTTGCAAATTCTGAGAGCATCTCTCTCAGATTCTACCTCAGCCAACCTTGTCTTCAGCCTTGCTATCTCAGCCTCCTTTACCTCACTCTCCTGCACCAAGGCACTGACCTTGCTATTTACTGGTGCCTTCTTGGATGAACCAGGTTCATTAGGAGTGGCAAGAACCTCATAGTCACAAGCAACCAGAGTTTTCGCCCCAAAGTGATCTTTGCTTGTAGAAACCTCCCACTTCTTCAAAGGCACCTTAAAATATGCAAGCACGGCTGTGAGAATGAAGCCATAGGGAATGGCATGAGACCTGGTCCCACTGATAACCCTATCAAGAAGTTGGATTATAAATTCAAGCCAATTAATCTGCCTCCCACTGTCTAAACACTCCATGAGGACCAAATCCATAAAGCTTGCAATGCGCCTCCTTTCCTGCCTTGGCAGAACACATTTGATAATGAATTTGAATAGCACCTTGTGGGGTGGCTTCATCGCACTCTTGTACACAGCCTTGGGCTCACTTTCCTGCTCATGATCACTGAATTTTCTGGTGATGGCAAGGGCAGTGGGAAGATTTTCTAGACTTGGCCACTTAAACTTTTTGTAGTCATTATACCCCTCAGCAGGTAAACCTAGAATTTCACCCAACTCCTTCATATCAAAAGAGATTTGCACCCCTTTTACCAAGCTGGTAACCCTACCATCCTTCACTGCAGCATTTTTCATAAACTCAACAATTTCATCCCTGGCCAACCTGCCATCCATCTGAAGGACCATGTCCTTCCAGCCTTGCACTTCTAATTTCTCCAACAGTAGCACCATCCCTTCCTTCTCCAAATCCTTGAGGATTCTACCCTTTAGAATTGAGGATTCTACCCTTTAGAATAGTTCTTTTTCGAAACATGGCCATCTTGTCCTTTTCACTGTCTGATTCATCATCCTCTTCTCCACTCCATTCCTCTTCTTCAGCAATTTTTACTTGTTTGGGTTTCATTGCAGACCTGGTCCTTTTTTCCCGGGTGGATGGTTCGGTAGACTTTGACATAGGAGTAGACTTCTTAGTGGAAGTCGTGGCTTTCTTGGGCTTGGGAGTCTGAACCTTCACTTCAACATTTTTATTTTCATCTTGATGGACCAGGTCCATCTCATCCACATCAACAGCCTCAACAGGCTCTCCCACCTTCTTCTTCCCTTTATCCATCCTTTTCTTTTTGCTTTCTTCTAATTCTTTCTGCATCTCTTCCTCATTTTGCTTCAGTTGACTTCTTGTGGCTCTTTCTCTTGTGGGAGGAATTTCAACAGTGTCAAAAGGGACAACCTTCCTTTTCTTGTTAGCTCTAGAAGTGCCAGGGGTCTTAGCCAGGGAAGTTCTCTTCTTCTTTGGATTGTAGTTGTCACCTACTTTCTTCAATAGGTCTGCGAGGGTTTCTTCAACTAATGAACCAGGTTCATCTACATTTTGCCCAAGGTTAATCAGCCCTTCAGCGGCTTTGCTAGACCCACTTCCCCCTGTTTTCTTGACACTTTCCTCCACTGATTTTGCTCCACAAATAGCCATTCTACCTTCATCAGAAGTGGGTGAAGAATCAACCACTCTTTTTCCCATTCCCTTTTCTTCACTTCGAACACCCTTACTCTCTTTTTCTTTTTCCTTTTTATTTTTACCACCTCTTTTTCTGGACTCTGAAGTTTCTACATCCACCACAAATCCAACCAAAGTAAACCTATTTTCCAAATTTTCAACTACCACAGAAATAACCTCATTAGTAGTATTTGTTCCAGAAGTTACATGTTCAGTATCAGAAGACCCAATTTCTTCCCCCTCAGTAGCAGACTTGAAGGATTCGTCAGAATTCTGGGGTTCTTGGGCTTGGCTAGCTTTCAATTGAGTGTTTAATTTTTTTGATAATTCCCTCCCAGCCACTTTCTTGCGAGCAAGCATTTTTACTCTTCTTTTCTTAGGCTGAGGAGTGGCAAATTTAAAGGGAGTCGGCATTAGAGCCGTTTTGGTATCAGAAAATGGCCAACATTATCCGATATCTGCTAAACTCAGATTTCCCTGCANGGTTAGTCATTTGTGCTTGGTTCTTGGAAGAAAGAAGAAAGGTAGATTGAATTTTGGAAGATGAGAGAAGATGGAGAGTAATTTCGACAGTTTGAGAATAACAAAGAGAAGGCAGAGATGATGATGATCAATTTAAAGGGAGTGGATAATTAATGGGTAATGGCAGGCTTCATCAGTCTTTTAGAAGTCTAATCGAACTGAAATGTCAGTTTTGAATAGACGGCTGAGTCTTCCCCTAGGATCTAGGTGAAATAACATTAGAGATTAATGAATCATTTTAACACGTGGCACAAGAGTATACTATTGAAAGTATGAGACTGAGCAAAAATTAGTCTAATTCTATACACATTTTACAGATTTTCTAACCAAAATTTTTTTTCAATTTTTTTCAATTTTTTTCAATTTTTTTCCTTTTTTTTTCGTTTGACATTGAACTGATGCGTTTAGGTGATCTTAATCATCCTTAGTTCCAACTTGTTCCTCTCCATGTGATCTCTACTTAAGGCTTTTGTGAAGATGTCAGCAATTTGCTTATCAGTAGCACAAAACTCCATAATGATCAAGCCTTTCTCATAGTTGTCCCTCAAAAAGTATTGCCTAACATCTATGTGCTTAGTTCTCTTATGATGAGCCGGCTTCTTTGTCATACTAATGGCACTGGTGTTATCACAAAATATAGGGATGCAACCAACATCAATTCTAAAGTCCTATAATTGTTGTTTAATCCACATCAATTGAGCACAGCATGAAGCAGCATCAACATACTCAACTTTAACAGTAGATAAGGCTACTGAATTTTACTTTTTGGTAGCCCATGACACAAGACATGAACCAAGAAAGTGTGACATATCTGAGGTGATCTTCCTATCCACAAGAAAACCTGCATAATCATCATCAACATATCATATTAGGTTAAAATTACTACCTTTTGGATACCAAAGGCAAAGGTCAGTGGTGCCTTTCAAGTATCTCAATATTCTCTTGACACTAGTCAAGTGGGACTCCTTTGGGTTTGCCTGAAATCGAGCACAAAGACCTGCACTAAAAACAATATCAGGTCTGCTAGTAGTAAGATACAAAAGAGAACCAATCATTTCCCTATACAACTTCTGATCAACAGATGACCCAGGTTCATCTATATCTAATTTTGTGGCTATTGCTATAGGAGTATTGATCTCTTTTGATTCTTCCATTTTAAACCTTTTAAGCAACTCTTTCACATAATTCTGCTGATGGATCATAGTTCCATTTGAGTTTTGTTTAATTTGTTAGCCTAAAAAGAAATTAAGCTCACCCATCATACTCATTTCAAATTTACTCCCCATTAGTTTAGCAAATTCCTTACTTAGTCTATCAGTAGTTGCTCTAAAGATTATGTCATCAACATATATCTGTACTAGTAGAAGGTCTTTACCTTTTTCCTTCAAGAATAAAGTGTTATCAATTTTACCTCTGTTGTAGGCATGCTCAAGCAGGAATTTTGATAATCTTTCATACCGTGCTCTAGGAGCCTTCTTGAGCCCATAAAGTGCTTTATCAAGTTTGTACACATGATCCGGACACTCCTTGCTTTCAAACCCTGGAGGTTTCTTGACAAACACTTCTTCCTTTAAATAGCCATTGAGGAAGGCGCTCTTGACATCCATCTGGTGAAGAGTAAAGTTCATGTAAGCAGCAAATGCTATGAGGAGTCTTATTGCTTCCAACCTTGTAACTGGAGCAAAGGCCTCATCATAGTCTATGCCCTCCTCTTGGCTATATCCTTGAACCACTAACCTTGCCTTGTTCCTTGTAACAGTTCCATCTTCGTCAAGTTTGTTTCTGAAGACCCATTTTGTGCCAGTTACTGATTTGTCCTTGGGTCTTGGAACCAGATTCCAAACTTGAATCCTTTCAAACTGGTTGAGTTCATCTTGCATTGCAATTACCTAGTCTGCATCCTGCAAAGTCTCAGCAATATTTTTAGGTTTAATAAAAGATAAGAAAGCATCAAAAGCAGAAAGATTCTTTAATGAAGATCTGGTTTTAATTCCAGAGGTTGGATCAGTAATTATATTCTCAATGGGATGAGAACTTTGGTACTTGTAAGGTTTCATAACCAACTGATTTCCTCTTGATGTTCTCTAATGTTTTGTTGCTAAGGAACAGGTTCTTGGACATGTTCTATCGAGGTATGAGACTCGGTTCCTCTTTGTTCAGTTCCCCCTGTCAGGTTGCCCAGAATAGAAGAACCTGTTCCAACACCTGTTCCTTCTTCTGGTGCAGCTTCAGCCTGGGCTGTGATTTCATTTAAATTTCTTACCAGCCCATTTGCTTCATCTTCATGTTCCTGTCTCTCAGAAAGAATGTTAGTTTCATCAAAAACCCACATTTACACTTTCTTCTACACACAGTTCTTTTGTTGTATACCTTATAAGCTTTACTATGTGAACAATATCCCAAGAATACTCCCTCGTCACTTCTGGGATCAAACTTACCTAGGGAGTCTTTACCATTGTTGTGCACAAAGCACTTGCATCCAAGTGCCCTAAGATGTGATATATTTTGTTTTCTCCCTTTAAGTAACTCATAGGGAGTCTTCTCTACAAGAGGTCTAGTCATGCACCTATTGATGATGTAGCATGCAGTATTTACAGCTTCTGCCCAGAAGCTATGAGATAGTTTACTAGAAAGAAGCATAGTCCTAGCCATATCTTCAAGTGTCATATTCTTTCTTTCAACTACTCCATTTTGTTGTGGAGTCCTAGGAGCAGAAAAATTATTATCTATGCCATGCACATCACAAAATTCAGCAAACTTAGCATTTTCAAATTCAGTTCCATGATCAGACCTAATTAATGCAAGTTGATTTCCTAGTTGTTTCTGAGTTTTTCTAACAAAAGAAGTAAATATGTCAAATGCTTCATCTTTAGACGTTAAAAATAATGTCCAAGTAAACCTAGAGTAATCATCAACAAACACCATAACATATCTCTTACCACCTCTACTGAATGTTCTCATTGGACCACAAAGATCCATATGGACCAGTTCCATCATTCTAGTGGTACTTACCACTTTCTTGCATTTAAAAGAGGATCTTACCTGCTTCCCCCTTGCACAAGCCTCACAAACTTTGTCTTCCTTGAACTTGATTTTAGGCAGCCCTATCACTAGGTCCTTGGAGACTAATTTTTTGAGTTGACTCAGACTTGCATGTCTAAGTCTCTTGTGCCAAAGGAGGGGATCATTGTCCAACACACTTAAGCAAGTGAGTTCATTTTCTGAAAGTGTGGATAGATCTACAATGTATATATTGTTTACTTTTTTTCCCTGCAAAACAATCTTGTCAGTGGTAAGATTAGTCACAAAACATTTTGTAGAGGTGAAAGCTGCCAAGTTACCTCTATCACACAGTTGTGATACACTGATTAGACTGTATTTTAGGCCATCTATCAAGTAGACATTCTCAAGAGTGAGAATCAGTCTTACCTAGCTTTCCAACCCCAATGATCTCACCTTTCTTCCCATTTTCCAAAGGAGACATTTCCTCCTTTGAGGTCCTCAAGTGAAAGGAACTGGTTCTTGCTTCCTGTCATATGCTTTGAGCAACCACTATCCATGTACCATATATGGTTGCTCCTCTTCACTTGGACATGCAAAAGGAAATTAGGGGTTGGTCTTAGGAACCTAAAATTGTTTGGGTCCCTTTCTATAGGCAAAAGGGTGAATCAGATTCTTTTTAGCCCAACCTGGCAGCCTATTTTTTTCTTGAACAAATTCTTTATTCTTTTGACTAGCCTTTTCTTTTGCAGTACATTCACTTTTATAGTGACCAGCTTACCACAGTGTGTGCAGATTTTGTTCTCGGGAAGTGTAAGGTACTTGATTTTGGGATCCCACTTAGGTTTTTTGGTCCTGTAGCCAAGTCCTCTCTTATTGCTACTATGGTATTCATGTAGCCATGAAAGTGCATCGGAGGACCTATTCCATTTACATGTTCTGCCTAGCTCGTGCTTGACCTTGCTTAGATCCTCCTTTAGGACTATTATCTGCTCATCTCTTTTGTACAACTCATCTTTTATTTTTCCTAGGTTTTCTTCTAAAGTGAGTTGTGTGTGATAACCTTTCTGTTTACCTGTTCCTAGTTTCAGTTTTAGATTTTCAGATCTAAGTTCTAGGATAGTGGTGTCAAGTTCAAGAACCTGGTTCTTTAACTCAGCATTTTTACTATCACTTTCATTAGCCCTAAGTTCCCAATTTTTGCAATTAGCTTTCAAAATCACACACTCCTTAGACAGTTGTTCTTTTTCATTGTTTAGATCCTCAGATTCATCAATGAAATCCAAGAGTAACTCAGATAGCCTTTTTTTAGACAAAAATTTAATCTTGTCTCTTAGATGAAATACACTTACCTCAGATTCATCATCAGATTCTCAATGGCCATAAGTACTTGTTCATCTCCATCTCCATCCTCTGAGTCCTCATCTGAGCTTTCCCCCGAGGTAGAAACCATAGCCTTTGTTGATCCTTTGTTCTTCTTGGGATGAACCTGTTCCTTCTTCCTATTTCTGCGTTCAGCTCTTTCCTTCTTCCATTCAATTTCCTATTGAGGATAGTTTTTGATGTGGTGATCAGTCTTCACACTTGTAACATCCCTCATTGGTTTGCTTTTTAGGAACCCTTGGTTTGCTGTAGTTTCCACTTCCGAAAGGACCCTTTCCTCTCATTAGGTACTTCTTGAAGTCCTTTGTGATCATGGCCATTTCATCCTCCTCTAGATCAGCACCTTCAGTGATTCTGAGTGCCAGGCTCCTTTCCTTCTTGGGTACATCCATATTCATTGTTTGTCTTCTAAGTTCATAGGTAGTGAGATTTCCAATTAGCTCATCCAACTTAAGAGTGGCAGTGTTCTTTGATTCCTGAATAGTAGTGATTTTGCTTTCCCAAGAGAC